TTGTTAGCCACAGGAAGGATTAAAGGCTGCCTGCTTCAGCAGTTAACTTGTTTGTTCAACTAGGCTTTAAGATTTCAAAAATGAATTTTGTAATTCAGAATTTTTATTTCAATGGCAGGGTGTCCTTAGAAGGAGGTCAAAAAGTGCAAGAAAGTAGGCATGACATTGCCACCAAAGTCCTACCTTTTTGTATTAAGGTCATACATAACATATTGCTTATCTTATGGTGAAATTTTAACTGCTATTGCGTAGCAGCAAAAAAGCCCAATAATGATTTTTTTTAAAAAAAAAATGCAGTCATATAGTGATAAGGTATTTAGCATGTTAAGAACATGTACTAAATCAGACAATTCAGATACGTTATTTCTTGTGACATATTTTTCAGATAAACCTTTTTCTCAGTGGCCTGTGATGGCATCTTTGGCTACCAGCCTGTAGAGGGAGCCATTTTCAACAAGGAAATTTAAGATGGGTATATGATTACTATTGGTATTACTAATGAGTTACTCAGCGGACAGAGGAAAGGGAATAGGATGATTCAGGAAGGGAATGTCTTTTTCAAACTAATTTGCAAGTCTTTGTTTCATTTTGTATTTTAATGGTCATTGGCAGGTCTATCAGATCTAGCCATAAAACCAAAGGTGAACACCAGAGGGAGTAACAACTTACTCATCTCAGGCTAATCATTGCTGCCCTCTAGTGGTGATGTAGATTTTGACAGGACAGTCTCTCTGCATTTTAGTGAAGACTGGTGACATAACCAGGCATTACCTTTGCTTTAGGTTTCAAAGTATGTGATGGTTTTCCCCTCTATTTAATTGGTGCTAGTCATCCTTGATGTATCTTGACTTTATAGTCTGAAGAAAAAAGAAAGATAATCAGGGACAACAGGAACAAAGTCCTAGATTTGAAATGAATAGCCAAATATTTGCATCGACTCGTGTAAATATGGCATTGGGCATAGATATAAGTTTATAGCTGAGTTCTGTGGCAAGTAGCCTTGGCTGTTCTGGTAAGCTAAGTAGGATCTTTGGAAATAAATATTAATAAATGTCTACAATGCAGCACCCCCGTGGCCAAGCCATCAGTGGCATCCCTCGGGGTAAGGTGATCAAAAATTGCAAAAGGGTGGATACATTTTCATGAATTTAGGCCTATTCCTATGTGTGTTCCTAGTGCTCTTTTTTAGTTTTTCAAATCATAGTCTCTGCAGGATTCATGGCTTTGCACCATAACTATACATATCCCACCTCTTTCATACATGCACATCAATCCTTGAGCATCTACAATTAATGCAAAACTTACATTGTCTCAGCATTACACTATCAATGAATTCCCCCTGTAGATGCCCGGGCTCCTCATAATTAAGAAAAATAAATATAATTATTTAAAAGAAGATACACACACATACACACACACACACACACACACACACACACACAAAGTTTTTCTGGACAGACCGGTCTGATTAATGCACCTTGGTATTTTGACTGCTATACTGAAGTTCTACTTATAATCACTTTTGATTATAAGTAGAACTGCAGTATAGCAGTCAAAATACCAAGGTGCATTAATCAGACCGGTCTGTCTGGAAAAACTTTCTGTATATATTCCCTTGGCTCGGATGACAAAGGGGAGGAGAGCTGGTGGCCTAATGGTTAATACAACTGCCTAGCATGCAGGCTGCCCAGGTTTGAATCCCATAGAGGGTATGGCTAGCTGATGAGAGCAAAATAAGCTTGAAAAAGCTATTCTAGTCTCCCATTTAACTGTTTAACTCTTTGTCAACAAAAAATAAATTTGGATTATATATATATATATATATATATATATATATATATGCACATAACACCATTCAATACATGGAATGCTTGGTTTAGACTGAGTGATAATTGTAGAAAAATAAATATAATTATTTAAAAGAAGTTTTATATATATATAAATATATGCACATAGCATATATATATATATATATATATATATATATATATATATATATATATATATATATATATATATATATATATATATATATATATATACACACAACACCATTCAATACATGGAATGCTTGGTTTAGACTGAGTGATAATTGTATGATCTACCCAGGTCATAGAAAGAATTGCAAACCGACCCAGTTCTTAAGCGAGTAGGTTTTGCCTATATGTACTGCAATTAAGTGGTGCTGTTGGGGTTCTACAAGAGGTTCTAAAATACTTAGAAAGAATCCTTGTCCAAGGATAATGCTCTCTTTTCAAACAATCAGTATTTTCACTGTTCATGTTTGTGTGAACATGCATGATAATATCCCCAAATACTATTTAAAAATTGAGCTTGGCTTTGATGCATTTGTGTTCATTATTTTTGTTTTTTGAAAAGAAAATTAAGGGAAAGTAGCTGCATTGGACAAGTTGGCTGAAAGACAATATAATTCTGCCCAGCATGCTAGTTTGGGAATTCTGGGATTTGAAGGTCACACATCTTAAAATTGCCAAGGTTGAGAAACACTGCTTTGTTGACTTCGTGTTCACATCTATGCCCTTTTCTTGGCAACAGTATAGAAGCAGCTTGCTCTTGCCTTCTTCCTGCTTGTTCCTTTAACTTCCCAGACCTAAAATTCCTGATGGTTGCCCATCCAAGTAGAAACCACAGTACATCCAGCTTAGCTTCTGCTAAATCAGTATCAGTGACCTGGAGTAAATTATGAACTATGTAGAAATACCTTGGGGTTTTTTATTTTTAAAAAAACAAACCAGATGAAGTCCACCTGTGATGGAGAGAAATAAGCCTGCTCATATTCCCTTTGGAAGCCATGGGGAATCTTGTGGGAGAGAGTCAGCACCAAGAATAAGTCAGAACCAGAGGAAAGAAAAGAAGCTCAAGGGACATCAAAGGACAGCTAAGATAGGAAGGAGCCCTTCCAGGTTCAGGGATTCTGTTCTTCACATGAGGCTTAACTGGACTAAGAAGCCCCGTATGATTCAGGAAGACGGGATTAGATGTAGGATGAGGACATTTACTCAAAAGCTACTATCCATTGGATCTTCACTTAGCAGCTCTCCAGAGCCTTGGCCTGCAGGATCTGCTGTACTTTACAATCTTTAAAAGAGCTCTGAATTAAAATTAAGGACAACTGTGGAAAAATCCACAGCCTTGGTGTCTTGGATGAGATAAGGACATGGCCATGAGTGACTCATGGATCCTGCATCCTCATAAACAGGATTAGATTATTTAGAAGACTGCATGGCAGCAAGTCAAAATGACCTAAGCAAAAATCTGCAGGGATTGGGAGCCTACATTTTCATTCACGCAAGATTGGGCAGTCTCCATTCAGCAGATGAAATGTATTCCATGACAGTTCAGCCATTCAAGTTCACATTGCCAGCCCTTTCAAGCCAAGAGAAAACATGGTCTGAGGACTTATGTCCCAGCCAAGGATTGGACTAAATGACCTTCAAAATCCCTTCTGATCTAGGATTCTATGATTTTGGTAGCAAAGATACTCAATGTGATTTTAGGCAGAAATGTGAAGTGGTTAGGCATATCCAGGGTATTCATGCCTCTATTTTATTTTTTTTAAAGTGAGGAAGAACACTCTAAAACAGGGGTCTTCAAACTTGGCCCTTTTATGACTTGTGGCTGAGGAATTCTGGGAGTTGAAGTCCACAAGTCTTAAAGCCGCAATTGTGACTTAGTGTCCCCAACAACTGGCTGCCCTCTCTTGCTAAACATGTGGACCCACAAAAGATGCTTGTATGCTGATCTTCTCACTGAACAAAGCAGTAATTTCTGAATGAATGTAGTCCTTCTGCACTGAAGGAAGGGTAGCACCTGAAGCTAGAAAATACATGGAATATCCTTCGATTTTTTTTGAAAATGGATAGTCTCTGTTATGACCTGCAGAGAACCAGGTCTGCGTCTGAATTTTGTGCCAGGGTTAGGGCTGCCCCTGGAACTGTGCATCGGGAAGTGTTGGCTGTTCTTTTTCAGTGTGCACATTTTGTTTGATCCTGAAACTGCTGTTGCTTCCTTGTGGTGCCTTGTCACATGGCTGCTAATAGTCAATAATGCTGCTGTTTAAGAACTTTATGTCAATTCTACAGATACATTATATAGCAGGCCCTGTATGTTTCTTGGTCCTCTGCCTTCCCGTTTACATGAAAACGGAAAGTTTCAGAAACTAAGATTCTTGGTGCATCCAGGTTTTCATACCCAAGCAAGGGAATAGGTAGAAAATGCCTGGAGTTCCAAGTCAGATCATAATCATGTGCAGTGAACCCTTTGTGACTTAAATGCTGTGCCTTGCAAGTGTGTCCCTTGACATATGTAGATATGTCCCTTACTGTATATCCGCATCCCAGTTTAGGAAGCCTGGAGGAGTGAGAGGGCCGTAGGACATCTTCTGAATAGCTTTGCCAAAATGAGGTCTCTGTCTCTTTAAACAGGTGAGCTACGATGAGGCTTGCTCACCCTGGCACGTAGCAGCTGAATTGTTCTTTGCCCCAGTGGAACAGATAGAAACCCTGTGTGTTGTAAATGTGGCAAAGTTTCAGCGGTTGTGAAACTTTGCTGTGAAATTTCCATCCGTCACATTTTGTGGGTCGCTCCCCCCCACTTCTTATTGGCAGCTTCGTCTCCAGTTACAAAAGGAGGAGGAGGGAGGAGGAGCCATCTGCGCACTCGGTGGAAGAAATGTTTACTATGGCAGGTGGAACCTTTGGGCTGAATGAATCTCCATCTGTTGAGGGCCAGGAGAGAGAAACGTGGTGATTCCTTGGCTGGGACAGGAAGGGCCACTTAAGAAAGCGGCACCAACCCATTGCGATGACTAATCGGGCTGTGCAGTTGTCAGAATTGCTCTGATTAAAGGTTTTGTCTTCTCGCCGGCCGAGGACTGTTCTGTGGAGACTGGTTCTCTTTTATTTGTTTTGTTTTTCTTTCCTGTTGGTTTTCCTTTTTTTTTTCTTTTCCTTTTAAGTTTCACTTTTGAACAGCAGACGGAGAACTTGCCCCCATTGGGCGCGCCTGGCTCAGCTGCATATGTGTGTGTGGTGAAAAGGATGGGGTTTCTCTAGCCACCGCGCACAATCCATTGACCATGAGGACTCTTCGCAGGTTGAAGTTCATGAGTTCGCCCAGCCTCAGCGATCTGGGCAAGAGAGAGGCAGCTGCCTTGGACGAGCGGGGGACTCAGCACCAGCGGGCCTGCTCCAATGCCACCTGGAACAGGTAGGGCTTGGCTTTCCTCTTTGCCCTCTCCCCTCCCCTCCCCTGCCCAGGAATGTTCCCAGCAGAGTCCTCTCAAGGAACAATGGCCACCAAGGTGGTGGTTTTTTGCTTCTGATTGGTTGATTTCCCTCTTCCCCCAAAACTTCAGCTGACTTTGCCCTTTGGGAGAAGGTTGGGATGATTCTTAAAAAATGCCTGCCAGGATATCCACTCCTTTCTGCATTCCATTGGTCTCTGTGGGTACCTGCCTTTTGGAAGCAAACACGTAAGAGAATGGCTTGCATTTTGGAATGAGGGACCTTGCAGGACTCTTGGTGATTATCAGTAATAAATGCTGCCAGAGTGAACAATTCAACATTTATGATCTCTCCAAAGTGTTTCGAAGCACAGAAGTAGTATCTGCCTGTGACACTTTTTCCGGAATTGCTTTGTTGTTGTGAGATACCAAGAAGAGACATGATCACTTTAAGGAATTATAGGCAGGTGCTCTGTTTGCTGACCCTCACGCTTTGAAGCCCTTTTTGGAGACTGGATCAAAGTGTTGCACAAGCACTATTAAGCACAGGGTAGCTACAGTAGATAGCAAAAGTAGGAACTGGAAAGAAATGTTATTGAAGGAGTTGTGTTCCCCCCCCCCTTTTCTTTCCTCATGCTGTAATTAAGACTTGCTTATTGCCAGGGTAGGACGTCAAAACACTCAAGAAATAGCATGACAGTGCAGCTAAAACCTTAGCTCTTTTCATACGCATTGCACGTGGCACATGTTAAAAGGGGGCAGAACCTGACCATTATCTTGATACACATACAAGAGACACCCTTGGTATTACCAAGACATCCAAGCCTGCTTTGTCTCTTTCTTATCTTATTATATTTTCTCAGTCTAGTTTACTTAACACTCAGTTTTTGACTTTTTATTATTTAAGAAGCAGAAGCAGAATCTGTCTTGCATGTTCTATTAGAATGTCCATTGTATACCCAATGGGGATCAGTTTAATCCTTCCAATTTTTAATAATTCTAATTATCATTGATCACTCGTCAGAAGCCAAAGAAGATTGCAGAATTCTTATCAATAACTACTAGGAATTGACCGGTTCCTCCTCCGTGCTATGAATTATTAGACTGCTAATGGATTTAGGATTTTCTCACAAGTTTAAAAAAAATTTTTATAGTTAGTATATTGCATGCTGGCCTTTTACTAGGTTTGGTCTTGTATCATAAATAAATTTTAAATCAGTTGACATTTTAATGTCTTGTTGTTCTTTTCAACATTTGTACATTTCACCAAGCTATGTTTTGATTTGATTAAGCTAGGTGTAGCATGTTCTGTGAACAGAGAGACTCTGTGGTTTGAAAATTGGGACTTTTGGCACAGACTGTGCTGCAAACAAGCCAACAGGGAAGTATTCTATGAAATGTGGTTAAATGAAGTAAGGCTGAAGGATGTCTATGAGGCACCCTACCATATCTGTGCCTTTCTTTTTAGATTCCCCCACTCATGCTAACCATTGTAGCTGTTGACAGCCCATCACCATCCCTGGCACAGATTGGACATTGGCTGTGTTTAAATACATCTGAATTGTAAAAGGGCAGTGAGTCTGATCTGTTATCAATGTTTGGTCTGATGGTTAAGGCAGCAGGCTAGAAACTAGGAGAGTATGAGTTCTAATCCTGCCTTGGGCATAAAAACTAGCTGGCTGACTTTGGGTTAGTTACTTTTTCCTAATCTATCCTACCTTACAGGACTGTTGCTGTGGAGAAATTAGGTATGGTTGCTGCCTCGAGTTATTTGTGAAAAGAATAAAACCAGGATTAAATAAATAAATGTTTGCCACAATAAGGACATAAGACAATGTGGAACACTATATATTGTTTCACAACACTTTAAACTTGAAGCTTTACAGTCTCCCTGCAACACCTTCTGAAAATCATCTGCTAGGTGGGTAAAAGCTGTGGTGGCGCAGTGGTTAGAATGCAGTATTGCGGGCTAATTCTCCCGACTGTCAGCAGTTCGAGTCTCACCGGCTCAAGGTTGACTCAGACTTCCATCCTTCCAAGGTTGGTAAAATGAGGACCCAGATTGTTGGGGGCAACATGCTGACTCTGTAAACTGCTTAGAGAGGGCTATAAAGCACTGTGAAGCAGTATATAAGTCTAAGTGCTATTGTTAGGTGAGGGAAAACGGGATCTCAAATACTGGTAGTCTTTGGGATATGACCATAATGGAGCCTGCCCATTATGGTCCATGTCACAATTGTCATTTGGTAAAATGTCTCTCCTAACAATTGCCAAATTCCTGCTCACCCCAGTGAATAGTTAAATAGCTTGAATGTGCCTTACTTTCCCAGCAGGAAATTGGAACCAATCAGCACGCCAGGTATGCACCTCTATACAATAGACAGCTGGGATTCTGGAGGTGTTTGCATTGGACGGCTGCAACTCTCTGCAAACACTGCTTACCTATCAACCACTTCACAAAATAGGTTTGCAGCAACCTCTACAGGCAGTTCCAGTATACTCTAAATCAGGGGTGTCAAACTTGAAACGTCACGCGACGTATTACAACTTTTTTGCCATTGCCGGCAAAGGGGTGGGCACGGTTTCGTTATGATGCATCCAGCCCGCGGGCCGGCAGTTTGACACCCCTGCTCTAAATCAAGCCTTAACAGGGTTTACACACTGTTGCAGAAATTTCCTGCCACATTTAGAAACCTCTGCGGTGCTGTGCAGACCCTGTTAAGGCAGCAAAACAAAGCAGGTGAGACAAAATGGAGGTCGGATATAGGTCACTGCTGCACCGCCCAGGGATATGTGGTCTTCCCTCCTTCCCCAGCATGAGATCCAGAGAGCTTGAAAAGATAGGTGCGATGGGGATGGGCATGTCTGGAGTAGTTGCAACAACTGCAGGGTCCAGGGATGGTTGGATGGAGGAGGGGGGGTGCTGCAGCATCCCTGTGGTTGGTCATAAGGACAAATGTCCACGGGTACTGCAGCTGTTGTAATTTTGAAATATAGTTTTGGGTCATCTGTCATAACTTTGAACATTCATTAAGTGACCTGTCATATCTTGAGGACTACCTGTTTTAAAAACCTAGACAAGTTTCATTGCTGCATTAAGCATTACTGAGAGTATCTACGGAGAACTTGACATTCTCATATAGCCAGACTGAAAAAGACTCCGAAAATCAGGCCAATCCAGGATCTAATCAAAGACCATAAGTTTCCTCCAGAAAATGAGATTTGCAAATTGTTGGCTGCAAGCTAAGTTACTGTATAAGGGATCAGTGAATAATTCTGAAGGAGACGCTCTTAAAGGAAGATGAATGAGATTTTATGACTCATCAAGATTAAAGGTAAATCACTTCCTTTTCATCCTCTGACTGAAAGAACTGAAATTCCTTTTAAGAAATCAGGAGAGCGCATGGTCATTCTGCCTAGGAATTCTGGGAGTTGAAATCAACACCTGTTGAGGTGGTTGAGGTTCAGAGACGCTGCTTTGGAATGTTATTTTTAAACTATAAGTTTTTAAAAGGTGGTTTGTAGTTCAGCTTCACAACAGGCTTCCAAGAGCTAAGTAAAACCCATTGAAAAGCTCCACTGAATTGTATAGAAATGATCGTGGCTGAGAAATTTTATTCAACACTCAATTGACTTTCTCACAGTCTGTTGCCCGTGTTCTGCAGGATCTTTTTGCAGTTGCTCTCCTTTTGAATGTTTCTTCCGACCATTTTGTGAAGAAATGGAGAGCCAGTTTAACCTAGTGGCTAAGGCACCAGGCTAGAAAGTGGGAGATCGTGAGTTCAAGTCCCATCCAAAGCCAGCTGGGTGACTTTGAGCCAATCACTCTCTCTCAGCCCAACTTAACTCGCAGGATTGTTGGGAAAATAGGAGAAGGAAGATATGATGGATATGTTCACCACCTTGAGTTATTTATAAAAATAATAAAGGTGGAAAAGAAAAGAAAAGAAAGAGAAAGAAAGAGAAAGAAAGAAAGAAAGAAAGAAAGAAAGAAAGAAAGAAAGAAAGAAAGAAAAAAATAGACCCTGGACAACAGAAAAACCAACCATATCAATCTAGAAATTCCACTTTCCCAGGGCCATCAAAGGAAAAATAAAACTAGTTTCATCATTTTTTAATAAACATTACAAATACCTAGGCTGTATTTGAATGCATATTTAGAACTGTTAATCTTTTTATGAGGTTGAACCACATAGTTTAAGTCTTTCTTTCATTGTAGATATTGTGCATTTCTTCCAGCAAAGATATGCTTGCATCAGTAAACCTCTTAAATCAGGACTTACTTGCATGATGCAAGATCTTAATCTATATCTAGATGAACATATATGTTTAAGAAATCTTAACTTTTACCCTGTGCCATTTATCCTTTGTTTTTGACAGCAAATTGTTTGACGGCATTCATAAGTAGGTGATAATTCCCTCCCATGTTATGACAGTTGTGTAATAACCACACCCAAAGGTGTAGCTTCAAATCTTCCCCATAATTTTGAGAGAGTAAGCCACTCAGCCTATGACTTCATCATACATTGGAGGGCTGTAAAAGAAACTGTAAACTTTATTGGTTTTTATTGTTAGATTTCTGAGTGTGAAAGTTATTTGCCACTCAGTAGTTAAAGCAAACATATTTCAATCTTGTCATCACAAAACACATAGATAGCTATTTTACAACTCTACAAAGTATTACCCACATTCATTTTTGAATGTTTGTCCTTCTCTGAAGTTTCATTTGCACAGTAAAGTTGTGTTTCATTTCATCGTGTCCAGGTTCACCATAGCATAAGTCATAACATAATAAATCTGTTCCTATTTAAAATGCCACATCACTCAGTGAAACAATATATCATTGCCGTTTAGCTCTTCCAAAAAATGTACACTTCCATAGTAATATTAGTTATTTTGTAATGAGGTTGTTATGGCCTCACAAAGGTTGCATGTGACGCTGAATAATAGAAAGCTTATTATTAAATATTAATGTTTTTGGGGA